TACTTCAAATGGGTCAATTATGACATATGTGCTAAAGCACCTTCAATACCTAAAGAAAAGCTGATTGTTCAAGTTTACTTGCTGTAGTCCAGGGAATAAAGCTCTGTAATACCGGCTGATCCCAATTAAGTATTGAGCAGATGTCTAGCCTTGTTCTAAATACTGGGTGTACAGAAGTTACATGTCAAAATTATGTTTTTCCTTAACTATATCTGACTATAAAAAAGCCCCTCTTCTATAATTAGTTGAGGTACAGGACTAAAATTTACTGTTAGCTGAATTCTGACATTTTGCTATTTCACCCCTACTGGAATTCAGTGGCATTTTCAGGTACTTTTACAACACAGTCAGTGGGCTCATGGCAAGAGACACTTTTAAAGTGACTTTTTTTTTTTTGTCTCAAAATGGACTAGCTAGTCTTGTCATTTTCCGTAGCAAAAAAAGGAATTTATTTCAGGAACCTCTTAGCACAAGCTACAGTCCTTCTGTCCTCTATCACTGATAATGGCAGTACAAGAAAACAATCTGCCAATACAGACAACACTAATAATTATTTTTAAAGCATTTAGGCTATAGATGCTCTTGTATCAGCAAAACTTGGCATTTAACAGAATGGCTAGTCATTCAGACTTAAGAAAAACAGATCATGGAACAATTTAGGTTGAAAAGCACCTCCAGGATCATCAACTGCAACTTCTGACTGATCACCACCTTGTCATGTAAACCATGGTACTAAGTGCCACGTCCAGTTGTTCTCTGAACACCTCCAGGACCGGTGTTTCTTCCTGCACAGTCCATTCCAATGCCTGACCACCCTTTCAGTGAAGAAATTCTTACTGATGTCCAAGCTGAACCTCCCCTGGAACAGCTTGAGGCCATTTCCTCCTGTCCTGTCACTTGTTTCCCTGGGAGAAGAGGCCAAACCCCACCTGGCTACACTACTCCCACTCTACTCATGTCGAGCATTTGTAGAGAGCAGTAAGGTCTCCCCTGAGCCTCCTTTTCTCCAGCCTAAACATCCTCCACTCCCTCAGCTGCTCCTCACAGAACTTTTGCTCCAGACCTTTCACCTGCTTTGTAGACTTCCTCTGGACACCCTCCAGCAGCTCAGTGTCGTTCTTGTAGTGAGGGGACAAAAACAAGACACGATTCAAGTTGTGGCCCCACAACTTGAGTGCTGAGTACAGGGGGACAATCCCTGCCCTGCTCCTGCTGGCCACACTATTGCTGGAACAGGCCAGGATGCCATTGGCCTTCTTGGCCACCTGGGCACTGCTGGCTCATGTTCAGCTGCTGTCACCAGCACCCCCAGGTCCTTTTCCTGAGGGCAGCTTTGCAGCCACTCTGCCCCAGCCTGTGGCACTGCCTGGGGTTGCTGTGACCCAAGGGCAGGACCCAGCACTGGCCTTGTTGAACCTCACACCACTGGCCTTGGGCCATGATCCAGCCTGCCCAGATCCCTCTGCAGAGCCTCCCTGCCCTCTGGAAATGTCCAGTTAAGTAAGGTTGAAGACTTTATATGTAGGTTGTGTCCTTCAGGGAGTTAATTAAGCTTAATTTTTCTCTTTTTTTTACTGCTATTGCATATACACATTTGATTCATTTTCCTTCTTTTAGACAACTTGTGAGATAATCTTTTCTAGTGACACACACTGAATCAAAACTTGAAGATTATATATCAAATGTACACATCAAATGTACATACCTGAGATGAGGTCTACAGCTATGAAAGTTTTCCAAAACACCCAAATGTAATTGCAGAGACCTATGATACACAGACGTGCTTTTTATGGTGGGTGTGTGGTTTTCTTGGACTGTATGTCTAATTCTATGTGTAAGGATTGACTTCAATGAGACTTCAACATAAGCTCAGCTGTGTTTGTTACTATAAAGGAGTAGCTCTAGCACAGCTTATTTTTTCAGCTGCACTCCAATTTGTGGAGTTACTATGATTGCATTTTTGAGTTATAAAGACAAGTGAAAATTGCTGTATTTGTATTATAAATTTTAAAAATGCTGAAGTTCATTGAATGACATGTTTTGCATTGCCTTGTTCTGTTCTCTCTTTCCATGTGGGAGTTAGAGAGACAGTGAGAGCATTCATGCAAATAAAAACAAATGTTTAAATTAAAATAGAATACAGTTTTCATGACATATCCCAATTTTGCTATTTCCCTTTAGTTAAAGGTATATGATAGAGAAATAATGCCCCATCGTCCCATGAGAAATACCACCCTAATGATTGGAAAGTGTTCTCTCTAACAGTACATTAAAGAGGAAGCAAGCTTCACCCAGATTACAATGTCCTCGGCACAAGATGTTCAATGTGACGTTACACAATTTTAAGCTGAAGATTCTAACTTTTTTTTAAAAGCTGTGAAATTTTCTGCTACCAGTGCAGGGGAAAACTAGTGACAAACAAGTACACATTAAATTATAAAAGTCCAGCACACTAGCTGCAGAAGCACAGTCGTACAGAAAAAAAACTTCAGTACCTCATGCAAGCATCTCTTTTGAAAATTCACTGTTGCATGCTGTGCAATGTGAGACTCTGCATCACAGCCACATTCTTTCAAAGTTTACTCTATGGGAACAAGAACAGCATAGCAAGTGGAGCAAAATGCCAGTGAACTAAATACACTGTTAGCTAATGAGGTCCTGTTGCACAGTGAGAACTTGCCTACAACACAACATCAACTAATGCACAGTTGTGTAGGACACATTCACTCAAAATTACTATGAAAATCAGCATTTGAGCACTGCATCAAGATTGTGACTTAGGTTGGTTAGTTTTCAGTAATGTGTATATATTTTAATGCCCACTATCCTGTATCACTTTTATGTGTGTCTTGGTGAAGTAAAACTTTTTAAGAGTATAATATTAACTAATAATATAAACTAATGATTACAAAAATGAGAAAGACATAAAAATTCTAAAACATAATTGTTAGTGATAGACTGCATTTCGCTCCTTATACTGACTTAAAAAAATAATAACCTAAAAAGTTATTTTCTTTGAGGTCAGTGAAAATCACTTCTTAGTGAGGGAGTACCTTGATTAAAGCACATTAACCATAAGGAAATATGCCAAGCAGTACTTTCACCAGTTATACAGACATGAAAAGGTTGTTAAATTCTGCCTCTCTGCCCAGCCTCTCCCCATTTTAATAGGACAGAAAGTTACCAAAGACTGAAATACCATTGCACTAACAAAACATTTTAGAAGTAGAAACTATCAGTCCCTATTGTATCCCTCCTGGCTAGAATCTGTCTTTTCAGGGTCTAGTTTCCCCGGCTGCTCATTGTGGTGCTGCCTCTTATGCGTGATGTCATCTCAGAGTAACCAGATTGAACTGGCCAGGAACCTCACTAAAGCTGCAGGCCTGAAGTTTATACTCAAATTACAGCACACAGATGAGCAATGAGAAAATGCCAGCAAGAGGAATCAAATTTTCCACAAATCAAGCAAAGGATTGTGACACAAAAATGAAGTTAATACTGATGTAAGAGGATCCCACATCGGAATGGCCATTCAGCTTTGTTACTTTGAGTGTAATTATTTAGCATCGGGGATTTTTAAGTGTTTCTTTCACTTACAGGACTTCCAGCATCATGTTCACAGATACAACAATATGCTCAAAAATATGTTCAAAAGTGCAGTTATGCAGGTAAAAATTTTGTACTGTGCTTGCTAACTCTTAAAAACATTAATATCTAAAACATTATGAAATTACATCTTCCACTACAGCAATTTGCTGAATTACTGTAGTGCAACAATAGCTGACTTAGCTGTTTAGTATTCCTGCAGTTTAGCTATAACACTCAATTAGACAGATTTAAAATTCTGGCCATTAGTCCACGGTGTACCCATAATACGGAAACAGATTTTTCACGTTATTAAAAAATGCAGGTTATTATTTGAGGTGGGGGGAGGGTCCTGGGGGAGGAATAACAAAGAAATCCTGCAGATACATAAGAATCATCAAAAGACAGTGGCCCATTTGAAGTCACTAAGGGGACGGTTTCTAGTCATACCTTTCCCCCCACATTAGGCTCTTGGGACAAAGCGAAGTCAATTGAGCACTTGAGCTCCAACCCGGGTTTTCCAGCAGCCCCCGTCTGCTACACATAATTTCCTGCCGATTTCCAAGAGGAGAGCAATAAAGGCAGCAGTCAAACTACTCTACGGAGTTGGTAGGAGAAGAATGAAGCGTCGGTGATTGTGCTGCTACGCTTATTTAAGTCTTATCCCGCACTTCTGCTTGGGCGGTGCGATCAGACACGTGTCAGTGAGGACATCGGGGGAAGGGGTGCGCACCCCAAGCTCCCCCCGCCCCACACGGGACGCGGGACGGCGCGGGGAGTCCGGAGCACCCCGGGCCATGCGGTCACTTACAGACGTGGTCATCCATCCTTAGCGGCCTCCGGAGGCGGATGCTGGCCGGAATGGTTTTGTCCATCAACTCCTCGATGCTCTGCAAGAAGAGCACGCACGCCGTGGTTAGCTCCCGCGGGGCGGCACAGCCCGCACCGGCAGGGTCCGGCCGCGCCGCCCCCGCCGCCTACCTGCACACCGACGGTCCGCAGCATCTCCCGCTTCTCCTGCTCCCGGGGCCCGATGTGCCGTCGGGAGAAGTCATCGTGCCGCGGCAGGAGCTGCTCGATGCATCGCGCCGCCTCCCCGCCGCCCCAGCGCCGCTGCCCCGCCGCCGCCGCCGCCCGCAGGTGCGGAGCCCCGCGGGCCGCCAGCCGCCCCCACCAGCGCCCGCAGCTCTGCATAACCCCGGCACAGCTCCACCAGCGCCCGCAGCTCTGCCCGCCACCGCCGGGCGCTCGCACTTGAGCGCGGGGGGCGGCGCGGCGCGGCCCCCACCGCTCGCGCCAATGGGGCCCGGGGGCGGCGCCGCCACCGCCCCGCCCGCCGCCACCTGCCCGCCCGCCCCCCGGCCCTGACCCCGCCGGCAGCGCCGAGCATCCCCGCCGCGCTGACCCGCCTCTGCCCCCGGCGCACGGGCACACCCCGGAGGCCATCTTCCCAGGAGAGAGGGGTTTCGTTCACAAAAGCCTTGCTCGGGTAGGAGAAAAAGGTTTCTGTGTTTCCTTAGCAGAGCGGGGATTTTCTTTCGAGTAGCGAGCTACGCGCTGTCCGCAGGTGTTAGCGCCGCTTGTGTGTCTGCGCGTGTGAACCTTGTTACTGCTTTAACTTCTGGTGACGTTAGTCTTGGGGTTTGGAGAGTTCTTTCAGTTCTTTTTCTCACCAACTTGTATCTATATATTTAAACAGATGTCCACATTTCTTCATCTTCCAGAACTAATCACAGAGTTGAGGATATATATTTGAATTAATATTTAAATAAAATAACAGTGAAAGAAAAAAAATATTTCCAAGATGTTCGTTAATTTCATCTTAATTGTATTACAGTTCTACTGCCTTCTGAATTTGGTAAGATAACTGATTACTAGTTTGGAACCTAAAAGAAAGTTTACTTTGCACTGAAGATTACTGATGCATGCAAGCTCTCTATTCCTGTAGTAAACATGAAATTACTTCTCTGATATAATCTGAGTTATCATAAATACTCTATTACAAAGGAAAAGGACCTCACAAATGTATGCCAGTATGTATTTGGAGTAATGATTTGAGTCCCTGGTTTCAGAATAAGGGATCCCCAAATTAAGTGAGATGAAACTTGCTTCAAACAGCAAAGCTGTTTGCTGTAAGGGTTTGTGATATAAATCAAATACTGACTTTAACTGATTGCTATTGAAGTATAAATGTGGTGCTTTTCTCCTCTAGATGTATATATTGCTTCTTTACAAATATGATAGTAGCATGAAGGAAATGAAAACTTTGCTATGGGTTTTATCTTGAAATCACATGAGTGAAATATTAGAAAAATAAATTAAAACCATGATAAATAACAAATTAATTCCTATTCTGAATTTGTACCTACATAATTCCTTTTTAAAGCAATTCTAAAGCTTTTTGGAAAAAAATGCGGATTGTGTTCAAATATTCTTTCAGATTTTGTTCAAGTGATAAGTGTTCTTAAAAATTGATCCCTTTTCTCTGGCAGGTAGCATCAGGATGATATTTCACACAAACTAAGACATTACATTCAGCTCACTCAAAATGTTTCTTCATTTATTCTCAGAATTGTTTTTTCAATGTGAGGTTGGAGTTTTATAGCTGTCTGTAGTGCTTTAGGAAGTGAAGTCTGAGGAAATAGAGAAGCATCCCAAACAATATATTTTCTATCCATATTTCTTAATTTTCCAGAACTAGATTTTTAGTTCAACTTGGAAACCATGCATTGGAGCAAGAAAACTGGAGAGATGTGCCAGTGAACCACACAGTGATGTTAAGGCATGCCCACTTCACCTTGGAAGCACCATCTCTGGGGTGGTTTGTTAAGCCACTCTGTGTATAATGCTTTTTTATTCAGAACCTCAGCACAGACTTCGGTTTAGCATGAGCTATGTGTAATCACTGTGGTAGAGATGCAAGCCTGATTTATGTGCTTGATCAGCCAGACAGCTCTTTAGCAGTCTCTTGAAAACTATTATTGATTGCCTTAACTAGCAAATAGGAATCTGGAACAAGAGATGCAATAGAAAGTAAAGGTTAGATATCAAAGGTGACTAGTACTTTGATATCAAAACAAGAAAAGCTAGCTAGTCGTGTAGCTTTGATTAAATTTATCACTTCATAACACATAGTCGACAAAACTAGCCGTTTTCTTCATGTAGATCAGCAGAAGGAAGGTTTCTTGGAAGAGAGGAAAGGATTGGGAAACTGCATCTTGCTGACCATGTGAGTTGCTATGTAGCTTTTTGGGACATCAGTTTCATTAGAAAAAGCACATGACTTTAAAGGAGTGCCCTATACCCTTTAAATCAAAGTGGCATGTTATACGTATGCTTTTTAACACTGACATTTTTAAGCTTTCTATGAATGTTTTGACTCCAGTTGTGATTTGGTTAAAAGATCTATTGCAGTTCTAATACTGCAAGGTTCATGGGTGGAGGTGGAACTATCCTTCTATGCTCTTTTAAAGAAATGAATTATTAAAATAAGAAAATTGTATTGTATTATTTTAAGATTCACTCCAGTGCCCTCCTATAACCCACAGAGGAAGTCTATGCCAGTTGATGTGCACCACTGTACCACAGAACATAGAGATTGGGTCAGATTACAGTGTTATCTGTAATAGTAACCAGTTTCTGATACTGGCCAGTGACAGCTACCTAAGGAGAAACACAAGACAACGCAAAAAGATTGGTACTGATACCAATCTGCAGTATTTCAGTTACCTTCCTGGGATTTCTGCATTTAGTAGTCCTTAATGTACTTTTTAACCAAATTTGTTCAGCTGATCACTGAACCCATGTAAACTCTTAATGGAATAAATGTAACATCTTACCCTTCAAAAGCAGTCATATTATAATCCTTTCTTCCTTTATTTACAATTCCTTAAAGTAGTGAAAAGCACTCATAATGGTAAGGACATTTCAACAAGTAAAGCAAAAGAAAAAAAAAGTGAGTATCAGTACAGACTTAGTCAAATATATGCTGACTTCTATCCTGATGCAAGATTTGTTCTGTAGAAATTCCTCAACAGAAAGAATTTTTTAGTGGTTTAAATCACCATCTCCATGGTTGCTCCTGCTTATGAATTTGTACTGTAAATAGGTTTGCACTGTATTGCTGCCTTTTAATTTGAGACATCTTTAACACAGATTTTTTTTCTCTTCTGGAAATATTTAATCTGTAACATGATTGTTTAAAATAAGATTTGAAAACTACTATGGCTGTCATTACATAAAGAACAATGCAGCTTCTTGTCCACCAGCACAATGGAATCATTCTCTTCAGGGCTTCTCTCAATCTATCTCTGCCCAGACAGTATTTGTGCTTGGGATTTCCCTGATCCAGGTGCGAGACCACCTCACACTTGGCCTTGTTGAACTTCCAAAGGTTTACACAGGAGCACCTCTCAAACCCCTCCCGGTTGCTGTAGACGGCATCTCTGCCATCCAGCATGTTCACTGAACCACAGAGATTGGTGTTATCATAACTGGTCTTTACTTGGACATTGAGCAATTGACCAGAACTCTTTGAGTGCAACCATCCAGCCAATTCCTTACCCACTGAGTGATTCATCCATCAAATCCATGTCTCTCCACTTCAGAGACAAGGGTGTTGGGCTGGACACTGTGGAATGCTTTGCACAAGTCCAGGTAATTTATGTCAGTTCCTCCCTCATCCACCAATGCTATAACCCTGTCATAGAAGGCCTCCAAACTTGTCAGGTGAAATTTTCCCCTAGTGAAGCCATGCTGGCTGTCACCAATCAACTCCCTGTCCTCCACATGCCCTAGCACGGTTTCCACAAGGATCTGCTCCATGGTCTTGCTGGCCACTGAGATGACACTGACTGGCCTGTAGTTCACTGGATCTTCCTTATTTTCGTTTTTTCCAAAATGGTTATTCTTCCTCTTTTCCAGTCAGCAGGGACGCCACTAGACTGGGGATATTCAGTGGATATAGCTATCAATATCCATGAATATTAACCTTGGAGTAAAGCCCTTCCGACTCCATTTCATGTGCGGACAAACGTTGAAGAAAGCAAGTGTCAAAAGGTTTTTAAGGTGCTAGGTATTAGTTTGTTTTCTGCATTTCCTCTGTCAGAGAGCACCACAGTCCTGCTTTTCCCTCCAACTAGGAGTTCCAGGGGTAAAGAGCGGCTCCAGGGCATAGTCCCACAGGTATAGTCATAGCAGGGTGAGCCAGGTGTTGGTAGTAGGATCCATTGATAGTCCCAGATGAACAAGAGATGAACCGGGTCCAGGCAAGAGCAAAAGGAAATTAAACCATAGGTAGGACTATTGACCAAGTTTCATCTTGAATCTGAAGTCCACGCAGCAGACACGACTAAAGACAGTAGGCAATGGACATCTCAGAGCTACATTCAGGAAGAAAACTAGCTACCACGTAGGTTTGAGGTATGCCCAGATAGCGGGGCCAGACTAGGCTGGAGACCAGCATATGGCAAGGTAGTTGAGGGTCTAGAGCTGTGGTGAAATGGAGACCTTGGGCTCACAAGCAGTATGTGCATGCCCTGGGTGAGCCTGGTCAGGGTCAGTAGATTCTAGAGGTGCACTTGGTGTCTTGACATTCTCCTGTAACAATCATATGGTTAGGTAGGCTGGCTTTGTCGACAAACTTTTAAATTATTTTAAACCCCCCTTAATAATCTGGTCCTCTGGCAAAAAAATATCTTAATCCTTCAGATTTTTAAACCTCTTTTAAACCTTTCTCGTACTTCACCTCCTTTTATATTTGAAGTTGGGGATATCCACAGAAGAGATAACTCCAACCATCACTGTTTTGATTTCCATTTGCCACCTTGCTCCCTCATGCTGAGACTAACTGAACTGCCAGACACCTCCATGACACATAGCCAAGCAGGGCAGCTGCTGCTCAGGCTATGGCAAGCACTTCTGCTTCCTAAAATTTTGAATTACAATTCAATATGTGGAGTGTTTGTCCCTGTTATCACTGTCAATCCTTACTAATGTCTCCTGTAAAACTTCCAAAGAAGGCCAGGAAGACCTGCACTGGATTTCTTACAAAATTATTTTGCTGCTGCATAGGTGATTTTCTAATCTGTCTTTTGGTCATTTGCTCTTTTTAAGGTTGGTTCAAAGGTAAGCTTGACAGACCTTGAATGCAAATTCAGTTACTTAATACTGGGTATGTTAACCCTTTTATCATGTTATTTGTGTCCATTGGCTTTTAAATACTGAATATGGCTATATGATAAGAGAAATGCCTATGTAAATATGTCAGCAGGTGTTATCTATTATGAATGAATACCTATGTAATGGGCATTGCATTACAAGATTTTCTCTTGCCTAATCTAGTTTTATTAGGCAATAAAAAGGTTCTCCCTGGCACAGGGAGACCTGTATACTGCTTACCCTAGCAAGTGTATCATGATGACAAGGTAATGAGATATTCTTTGGGAAATAAACGTCAGACCTCTCTTATTCTTATCTAGGAGTTAAAGGTATTATGCAACAGAATATGGAGATTTTGCAAATTCAGGAAGTCTAAAAGTTGATACTTGTTTTTTCAGAAGACTAGATTTCGTAGAGTAGAAATGGAATTATTATTACCTTTGTTCTTCAGCTAGCATACCTGTACAAACTGCTGAGATGACAGTTTCAACAAAAACTTTTCTTTAAAAAAAAACCCCTCAAATCCTAGATGTCTATCTAGATTATCAATCTAACAGATATTAGTGAAACCATCACTCATCGTGGAAAACACTGAATAAATTTGTCCTGTTGCAAGACTGGATCTCTGCTGCTCATCTTTCAGGGTTTGAACAAGATCTCTTAGTAAATCAATTACAAATCCATTTTCCTTATGTCTGATTGAGGTAAAAGTTTATGGATTCCTCTCTATAAATCACAGAAGCTCCGATAGGAAATCTCTTTCATCTTTGTACCTCAAAGCAAAAGATTCAAGGAGAAATCCTGTAGTTCCTTAGGGGAGCTTCCCTTTTTGGGAAGTTTCTGAGTCCTCATCTGCTTAAAGAAGGCTGTTGCTTGCAGAACTGTAATGATTTATGATTTTAAGGGATTATTTAAAGTAGTTCTGCAAATGCGGCAAGTGATTCCATCAGAACTTACTTTCGTTTAGGCTCTCGGTGGCCGAAAAAATGTGTTTGATCATAATCTAACTATGCCAAATATACATACATATTTGCCCATATAAATGGAGATGAAGTTTCTGAATGAATCAACTTAAGATTTCATTATATTGTGTCCATCCTAAAAATTAGTCTGCTTTTCTTGGGTGAATAAGTTTTGCAGGTGTACCAAAGGATCACAGGAGATGAATATCACACAGTACAAGGTAGGGAGTGGCACTGCATGGTGAGGATAGGAGAGTGAAAGAAATAGGACGGGTTCTTCTGATAACAAACTAGAAACTGCAAAGATTGGTTCAGCTATCTTCTTGACCATTTGCAGTTGGTTAGAGTATCTGATATTTTTCAAACTCCTAATGAACATATCTATGTGAACTCTTAAATATAGATCAAGACTGAACCAGCACTAAAGAATCTGTCTCTGAAATCAAAACTGAATAAATGTTTTAATGTTACATAATATCTTAGTTAACATATAACTTAGAAAAAGAGTTAAGATGTTGCAATGTCCTGGTTGTGGTATTAGATATCTTTTTGGTGTTCCAGTTAAAAAAAACCAAACAAACAACAAACTATCAAATAGGGCTACAATATAAGCTCCTTAAAAGGACTGGCTCACACACACTTATTAAAGACTTTTTAGGATGCAGCCGTACTTCAGGTAAACATCCCAAGTACAGTAAGGGTGCTTTACCTGACCATGACTTGCAATTCCCTCATGGTACTCCAGGGATTGCACACGATTTTTACAGCCACGATTCCACAGCTCTGGCCACAGAGCATGCATTAGTGTTGTTTCAGTGCAATGCTGCATTGACATACTTTGACTCTCTACAGGATTTAAACATGATGATGAGCTTCAGCTAATCCAGAATTTTGTTTTTTAGTGCAGCATGGTAAAGCAATATCCTGACTCAGGTGGAGAAGGAAAATTGCTCAAACTTTGGGGAGCAATTTGGAAGGCAGACTGCAACAAGAAAATGAAAAATGCAGCTTGGGATATCTACTTGACATAATGATAGGAAATGCTGTTCATTGTCAAATTGTTTATGTGAAGAAGGGTGATGGAATAAGCAGTTGGTCAGAATAGAAACTGCAACAGGACTGACCAGTGGCAAAGAATAAGAGAAAAAACTGAGAGTTAGGAGTAACGGGGAGTGTAATGCTGAAAAAATAGTCAGATATCTACCTTATTTACTAAATAAGGTATGTGTCATAGGGAGAAAACAGCAATCTTAAATATTCTAAAAATATATTGCAATGCATGTGTCTAGAGACTAGATAAAACCTGCAGAGGAAATCCTAAATCTTAATTTCCTGCGTTTTAGTGTTTCAGTTGATTTAGATGTAGAGATAGCCAACAGGTATCTGTAATTAAACTAGCATGGCCGTGTACAATGATGAGGGAAGCTGAGAAATCTCAGATGCTACTAACAATTTGTTTGCTGTTTTTCAAAATAATTCTGATAAAGAAAGAACACACTGTCTCATATAATTTTCTCATTACAGCTACTCTCCCAGAGGATGACATGGTAAAATGTTAAGTAATAGATGAACAGAAGCAAGAGGAAGTTGGAATTTCTGTAGCACTAGCTTCTGAAAATTATATAGTTTCATACTACATCTGCTTTTGTAGCACACTGTACCTGTTACCCAGGGATTCATCTCTCTATCTTAATTTTCCAATGTACACTGAGTTAAATAAGGATGGACAGTTAATTTATTAATGTTGTATGAGAACATTAGAGATCACTATCTTGTAACAGTGCTAATATATTAGCCTGCCTAAGTGCAAATATTTAAAATGTATCCTCTCTGTGCTTACGTTTATCAATTGCAAAATGGCATTATGCAACTCTGTCTTTGGTAATCTTTCAAAAAAGTTGAAATAAATAATAGGATCAAATCACATTTGTTTTTTACTTTATTTTAGGTTTCCATGAACTAGAAATACAGCCTCTGAAAATTTTGCAGAAGGTGAGAGCACGATCACACTTCCTTGTCTGAATGACAGCTGCTTTTTAAAACATAAATCTCTGCCATGTAATTATAAGGAACTTCTAGAAACAAAACCACATAACTCTCCTTACTGTTTCAACAGCTTTGTATTCTGTGAATCAACATCAACTCTAGAACTAAATTAAAAGACAGAAATATGTCTTTCCCAAGAAATAGTCTAGACTCATTGGTAAGGAAAACACTGGGAGAGGAGTACTAGCTAATACAGTCTGTACCTCCTCATCTAAGCAACTCTCAATCTAGGAAAGCAATATGCACTCTTAAATGGGACTTAGTACTCAGAAACACCTAAAGTAATAAAAAGCAGTAGTGGCATTGAAATCAAAAATAATAGAATCATTTTGCTCTTCTGGCCATATCTCATTAGCTCATTCGGTCATACATGAAATAAACAAATAATTAATCTCAGGTCCCCCATTACTAAGAAGTAGATAATAAAACCTGGAAACTTATTACCTTATATTTTAAATTTATGACCAGTATTAAGGAGTATGTGTCATGTTTCTCTAAGAACATTTGTTTATAAATTAGCCACAACATTTCAGCAACTATTTAGCAGGAAATAACACAAGAAATGAGCAGTGGACAAAGGGATGCAAAATAACTGCATGGTAGTAAGGGAATGTAAAGAAGTATATGGCTCTGAAATTTTAATGTCTATGAAAATGTATATGATTAATAATATTTGTGAACAAAACAATTAAATGTTCAGTGAAATAGTCTGAAATAGTCTGTGGAAAAATTGGAGAATTTCCAACAGCCTATTTAACTAAAATAATCTGAGAATCACAGCTTTAAGGATTCTATTTCCTTGTAAAATAATTTTGCTCATCTGAAGTTTTAGTACAGTTCATTAGACCATGCAGACAAAAAAGATTCACAGCTTTCCATCTGGGTACCTTGAGCCATTTGCCATATGGTTTTTATTGGTTGCCCAATAAAATATGAAGTAAATTACTTGGTATCAAGTAATATAAAAATGCTATTTTCCCCCTGTTCTTCTTAATAAGATGCTTCATAATATTTTTCTTAAGGAAGACCCTATAGAGACCAACACACTGTCAGTCATATGATTGTACTTAACAGGGAATTTATCACAAACTCTTAGCAAGTATAAAGTTAATGTAAAATCTAATCTCCTTTGTGTCCTCCCATCCCTGTCCCCAGTGTCTATGTCTGTTCCTACCCCAGCCCCCAATCACCCAGTCATATTTCATGACATGCTTCTCTGCTCTGCAGAAGCTGATGAACTTGTTCTGACAGACGATTTAGAAGCAGGATGTGTTGGGTTGTGAACTACTTCCTGTGCACTTGCTTTAGGTTGAGGAAATCCTCACCCTCTTAAAAATCCTTGCCTTCCAATAAATCACAGTGTTCCCCTTTGCCAGTTTTAGAGAGCTTGGGCAGACAAAGGACCATGGAAAAGACATTTGGATGGAGCAAGGGAGGCTTTTAGTGGGAGGAGTTATGCCAGCTTCCCTCTAAGTAAATATTATCCGTATGTGCTTGGGCTTCTGAAAGTACAGAATGTTAACTCTGAGTCTCACTTTGCATGGACTCAGAGAGATACAAATAATCCACAAAGCTATAATGCATAACACGTCAGTTTTAAAAATAATGATGAACAGTGTGACAAACATTTGTTTCATAGCAGTTCTTAGAAATAACAATGAAAAGCACTATTTTAATGCCAACCATCTTCTAAACTTGGTTAATTCTATTCTGAAATGTGGCCAATATTTTGTGCTTTTGAATTATCCAGGACTGTCAAATGACTCACATTTTTGGTTAAATAAAGACAGAATAGGTCTTTGGTAGAGAGTACAAATATTTCTTTTTATTGGAAAAGTGCATTTATTTTATCTCTCTACTTCACAAAAATTTCTGAAAATGAAATCATTACCATCCTTTCTTGCATAGTTCAAATGCTTTTCCAGTAATTTGTATTCTAACAATCATTTCACTCCCATATTAACTATAGTTTGCACTATGGTTGCTTTTTATTTTATATGGAATATAGTGTTTTTCTCCTTGTAGATAGCTACCAACATTTTTTTCCATAAATAAAAAATAAGAAGCTGAGTCTCTCCTTTCCTATGATGTTCTCATGTGCCAAGTGCAACTTATTTCTGATGTTTTTGTACCTTTATATTCTTCTGTGACGGTCATGGTTATGTTGTCCCTAATCTCTTTAAAATCTATTAAGCAGTCCAAGGGTTGGTGCTAGAGCCCAATGAAAAAAAGAATGATTCCAGCTTCTCACAGCTCAGGAGAGGTTGCTAAGAGGGTATGCAGTTGTGCAACTATGCAAGATCAAACCTTTTAATTTTTTTCCTAAGCGTGGATTTTTTCTATCAGTGATCATACTTTTTGTTAAAACATGTATCAGATAAAAATGACTTGACTAGACTTAGTCAAGTTTCAGATGACAAAAAAAAAGAAAAAGGAAAAAAAGGCCCAGAAAAAAATTTAAAAATTAGTATGAGTTACAAATGCAAGAGCTAAAAAAGTAAACCAAGCAAGAATGGAATTTATCTGTACATTTCTACTCAGGACAACAGAAAGAGTACTGAAAAAAAATTTGAATGCTTTTTCATTTTGGCATCTACTCTGCCCAAAAGGGAATAAAGCTACTTGCTGCAATGGTAAGCTCTTCCTACAATTAGTGTTTTTGTGAAGGAATAGCAGATTGGTGTTCTATCTTCCAAACTTGATTCAGGCCTGCAGTCAGCATCTAGACTGTGTGTCAGAAGGCAGGACCCTAGAAATCCAATTCTTCCAAAAACTTGCTTTCCATACTTAATCTGGGAAAATTAATATATTGGATTTCACAGAGTCTCACTTTGACTAGTTATAATTATCCTTATCTCAGTTATGTCATTTTTTTGTCCTTACACACCTATTGTTTTCCTGCTTCTTTTTTTTTTCTTCTTTCTTTTGATTCTGCCCTGCTGTTCCTATTTGCTTTTTGTTTCCTTCAATGTCTTTTTTTTTCAGAGCAGTGTCTTGGTCTAGGAATGGTATTCTCCAATTTAGTGCTACTACTGAAACTGTGTGCCACTTGCTCACTCCCCTGCTTTCCCTTTCCCCTTCCTTGTGGTGTTGGAGAGAACTGGAGGTACAAGAGGCTGAGATAAGAACAATTTACTGGAAGCAGCAATGAGATAAGAAAACTAACACTAACAGCAACAATACTAATGACAGAGAGTGCAAGAAAAGTGGTGACATTCACACAGAAACAACTCCACCACACCTGACCAGAAGGAGCTCTTTCTCTTCAAAAAGACTCTCTTTCCCCCACCCTAGCAATGGTAGTAGAGGTGGTACAGAATAAGCATCTGGTCCTAGCCATGTGCCATCCTGTAGAAATTAACCCCATCCTGGCTGGAATCAGGAGAAACAGCCTTCCTCTTGCTCTGTTATTTCTTATGCTTAATCACTATTATCTATTTGCTTCCCTCTCAAAGATAGAAACACCAGTCTGAGACCTCACTAAGCACTCTTAATTTACATTTCATTTTCTTTTCTTCAAAATCAGAGGCATGAGTTTTAACACGCATGGGTCTCTGTAGAAATAACTATAATATTTGCTTTTTAGAAAATGTCCCTCTTATAATAAGCAATACCTAAAAGGAGTTGTTATGGTTACTATTTTCCTCTTCTGCTGTTTGTACTATTAGATTTCACTAGTACCCTATTGTTTTGGAAAACCAGATTTTTTTACAGTGTCCTACTGTACGTAATATTAAATTGATACAATATTTACCATTATGATTTTTTAAATTTAACTGTAATTTGTTGATAAACATGAATAGTCTTATCTCTAGCACTGCAATATTTCACTCACTTGTCAAAAACCAAGAAATTTTACCTTTCCTGCTCTTTTTTTCTTCTCTTCTGTTCCCATTTTTGAGTGTCCTCTGCATTTCTTGAATGATGTATCATTCCATTTTGCTAGTCATGCAGGAAACCATTTTTCTTTTTCTCGATTAGATTTCTACTTCATTAATGAGTTAAATAAGCTAACAAAAAAGTGTAGTATGTGGTTGGAGTGCCTCAAAGTGAGAGAAATAGAGAAGCAGCACGAACAAGCTGTTAAAACTCTACATAATAATTACTGGAATTGCAGTCTTAATGCTTGGATTTCCATTTGCTGAAAAGCTTATAAAAAGTTGTAACCTGAACTGCCTGAAACGTCTTTTAGTAGTTTTGGCTGCAATGCGAATATGAAGTTCATCATATGGGAGGTTTTTTTTTGCCAGATCCTCAGGTCCTCAATTGCTCAAATCACACAATTTTTTGTAAAACCATCTGTAAATTAACCTGGAAATGTTTCTTACAAGATGTATGAAAATAAGTAGGGGGTCATTCAAAGAAAAATTTTTGAAACATTCCTTCTATCGAAAAAGTAAGAGAAAATACTAGATTCATGCCAACACACTGAAGCAGACTCTTTCACAAGTTCATAAACTATAAACTACACATCTCTCTATTTGCTCTTCTACTGCCAATTACTGTAGTAATTGGTAGATGACTACCATAAATTGGATGAGTGTCCAGTAGAGACATTCATAAAAGCTGGTTGTCATAGCTGTCAGACCTACCTGTATTGAATTTCACTTTGGAGTAGGGGAAATGCTAGGGCAAAGTCATGGAACCATTCTTAAAAATCTTACAAGGTCTTACACAGCATACTCAATATTATTAGTGCCTTGTCAGAATGCCATTTGTTTGCCTTCTTTTTTCCTTTCTCTTTCTTCCTCTGGCTTACAAAGGTCTTTGCATGGATGCTGCTACTACGTAGAAGTGTTTACAGCAATTTGATAGACTAAAAATTCTGTGGTTGATGTCAGAGAAGATGTGAAACTCACGGCAGCTCATTTAATTTCTGTATAAATTCAAAGCATATTCATGTGACATCTCTCTCACCAAAACACGAGAAAAAACGTATTTCCATCTACAGCTGGTTACTGTTAGCAGTACTCCTAAAGAATGTGGGAATTCCCAGAATGCCTTTTAAACTGGAAAGCAGAGAGGCACAGCCTACAAGTATGGCAGAACATACCTTCCTTTTACCCAGTTGTGGTTGTAAGGTTTGAGACGCTGAACCATACTTCTTTACAGTATCTCCCATATTGCCCAGGCAGTTTAACTCCTTTGGCTGAAATAGAACTTACTCAAAAACGTGGCCTTTTAAAATTTATTTTTAAACTTTGTAGAAAGAGTTTAAGAGACAAACAAGAGGTTGTACTAATAAGAGGATGCAGATGACAACCAGTGGACAATGAGAACCACGTAACCAGTGAGAGCTTGAACTGATCACTATAGAAAATGAGGGGTGTCATATACTCTTCTGTTAACATCAGTTGCCAAGTGCTTTTGTAACATCTCTATGCACTGAAAGGTCCTTTCTGTGTATTGATACAGTATCCCAGTTTATCAGAAAGTTACAGATATCTATTTAATCACTTGATTAATAAGCTAAGACTGCTCAGATAGCATCAGACTGCTCAGACTTGATGCAGAGTAAGTGACAGAAGCAAGTGTGTGTGTCTGTGTGGGTGTGAGTGGAAGAAACACATCTTTTCTTAGTAGGAGTAAATTGTTGAATTGACCTAGTAGAGAAATACCTGATTCAATACAAGTACCACCCACTGCCCACCACATTTAGTAGAAACAGCAAAAAATGGCACAATGACACTGTACACTGTGAAAAAACTCAACTTACGAGGATTGGGAGTCCATACAGGAATGAAGAGTAATGTGATTGAAAATAGCATATGGAATGGGTATGCCAAAATAGAATAAGCAAAAAACAATCAGCATAAGAGAAGAGAAAGACCAGAATAAAGTTTTTCTGGAGTGTTCATACACCTTTGAAAGAAAATTATTTACAATATACTTTATACTGGATGCATTTCTTGTTGTAAATTTATGTCATATTTATCATCCTGCAGTTAGGATCACTGATTTTAGTAATTTCATTTACCAAAGTCACTTTGGGCATTTTTAATAGAGTCACGATCATCATCATCCAAGATAAGGATACTACTCTGCATAGATCAGAAATTTTGCTGTTTTAACCCTTGTCTGATTCTAGTACAGCAAATGCTATTCTTCATTGTTTTACAGCTAAAAAAAAAAAAAGCATTAAAAAAACCAGACAAGTGTCAGGTGACTTAAGAATATTTTTGGACTTCCTCTGGTGCTCTGATGTTGTTGGTTTTATTACAGTACTATTAATGGGATGGATAGCTGTATCTAAGAACAACAATGGCTACATCAATCATCTGTAGAGCAAAAATGTACTAATCTTCATGAATTTCTTGGTTGATACGTTCCAAGATATTTAAAGGTTCTGAATTCATGTTGCTTCTCAGTACCATGACAGCATTAGTGCTTTGAATTTAATAAATTAAAAAAAAAAAAATCCTTGTTAAGAAGTGTGTAGACTTCCATACTGAAAAATAAAGTAAATTGTGGACTATCAAATGAAAATCAAGTCAAAATTTATTTCAATATTTAGTGACATTAACTCTAATGATGAATTGTTAAAACTTCCAATGTAAGAAGATGCATACATTTCATGTCCATTATGACTACTGACAAATCACAACGTATTTACTAAAAGATTCTACCTATGTAACCTGTAGTTGCACAGGCTAAAATTTTTTCTTAACATTTATATTAGCTTTGTACTCTTTTCCTCAACAAACTTTTTGTTTTGTTTTTGCTAACCTTTTGTATCTCCCTGAAGATACTACAATGTAGAATTTAAGTGAAAATTAAAAGTGTGGAAACATCCATTTGTAAAATTTGCATTCAATTTCCAGTTTCTGAAGAAGTTTAAACA